TGTTTGGCAGGCCCAGGCTGGATTCGAACCCGCCAGCTCTGGTGTATGTGGCTGGCACCCTAGCTGCTTGAGCTACAGGCACCAAGCCTGGATCAATTATTTTTTCCTTCAAATTTGTTTATTAAAATCCATCCAGCTCTAGAAGCCAACTTTGGCAAATCCAGGAGAATGTACACTGCAAACTTAACAGCTACTGAAAAAAATGTTGGTTTTGACAAAGCTCCTAAAATTATTTAATATCTGAGAGTAATTTTAGGTTTGCATTTGCACTTTATTTTAAAACTTAACTTTGTATATAATACCTAAAATTTGTCTGTTTCTGAAGAAACAGATACATGATAAAGATGAAGGTAAGTTCAGAGCGAGTCCATGAAAATTAGCTTCTTTTCAGAGTGAAGATCTTCTTTAGATATAAAAATAAACATAACATCATTTTTCCTCGGCTTCTGTCATATGTGCCTTTTATTATTAATTATGCCACATCTACTGATACACACTGTGACTGTTTTTTATTTGGAGGCAAACACATTCTTTTAGGAATATTGAAACCAATACAAAGTTCAAACTATAAGACACACGCAGAACAAATCTGAAAACTAGGAACCTCAAATCTTTGTCAGTATTTATCGTTCGGATGTAGCAAGTGTTGATTTTGTATTGTGAGAATCATCCCCAATTTTGTGACCATAACATAATTTTTGGAATACCTCTGAATGTATTATGTCCCCCAAAGGTAATTTATTAACTTCTCTAATACAAACATTATAGTCCATTTTCTTTTTCTCTAATAGCTTTCCTGTGTCCTTGAACTTTGGAAACAGATGGGTTTTAGATCATTTTGAGTGAACTGTTCAGTCAATCCAGATGGAAAAACCACCACGTGATCCATTTCCAGGTGGAGCAGGCTGCCAGTGATGAGGGCAGCCAGCAGGGGGATGGCAGTTTTCAGCTCACACACAGAACTGCCATATCACCACTAGAGGCAGTTCTCAGAGGACAAGGTATTTGTTGTATAATCATCACTATCCTGAGCATAAAATATTCAAGATACGGTCTGAGAATCCTTAGGAATCTTTGAAAATAATCTTTTTAGAGATTGATTATCCATATGCATTCATATTTTTCAACTTCCCCACATTTTATGTTTAATTTTGTCCCCAAGTAGACTTTTGGATGTGAATTTGATAGCTTTTTCATCTTTTAGGCAAAAGAGTGCTAATTATTTAAAAGATATTTTTCCAAAATGCACTCAAGAACCCTGCAAAATATTAACAGATATGTCTATGGAAAACAGCATTCTGGAATCAAGTTAAATTTGGTACATGATGAAATAAAGATTAGTAAGTCACTTAATGAGAGCACGTCTTAAAAAAGTGAAATAATGTGGCGGTGCCTGTGGCTCAGTGGGTAGGGCGCCAGCCTCATATACTAAGGGTGACGGGTTCGAGCCCAGCCCCAGCCAAACTGCAACAAAAAAATAGCTTGGCGCTGTGGCAGGTGCCTGTAGTTCTGGGTACTTGGGAGGCTGAGGCAAGAGAATCGCTTAAGCCCAAGAGTTTGAGGTTGTTGTGAGCTGTGACAGCCACAGCACCTCTGCCCAGGGAGATGTAGTGAGACTCTGTCTCAAAAAAATACGCAACAACAAAAAAAACTACAATAATGTGTAGTAAGAGGAACATGTAGCAAGCAATGTTTTGGAAAACACTGGTATTTTAAACAACTACATACATTTTATGTAACAGGGAAAATATCTGCATAATTTTTATATAGTAAAGATAAGAATATATTATATGGTTTCTTTTTAAAGTTCTTCTTGAGAAAACTGGGTACTTGGTTGACTTTCAGAGCACAAGACATTTTACAGAAGGCTTAAATGTCTTTCAAATCCTTTTTTTTTTTTTTTATTGAATGGTAACTATGTACATTAATGCACTTCAAATCCTTTTTTGTTGTAAGTTTGTACTTTAGTTTTGGAAAATAATGAAGTCTTTACACATGATAGGAACTAAAAAGTGTGTTGCTTCTTGTCACTTACATGTAAATATATTCTATCAGCATAATGATGTCTTGTTCCTCTTTTAACCGTGAACTTTAATAAAGACAACTGTAACGTTTATTCAGATGTCAGTTACTAAAAATATAAGAAACAATTCTATATTGAGAATAATTATTCTTCACTCTGTCAGTTATGAGGGCAGGGGATGTTTACAGCTAAAGAGCCTGCGATCTTTGTTCTACGCCAGCAAGACACAGCATTCTGATGATTTTGTACTGTTGACATTTTGTTCTGGTATTTTTTTTTTTCCATTTGAAACTATCCTCTCTGAGGTTATTAGCACAGGAATGATGATGTAATAAGCAAACAACCCTGTGACGTGTGTGTGTACACATGTGGGCAGGTGCCTCTGTGAGATGGGGGGTGAATAATATATGTGAAAGGATAATTAGGATGTCACTGCCCAGAGATTTGTCTTCACACAACTTATTTCTTCTCTACTCCTCCTAATTATTCTAGACTATCTAATGTGTCTGAAGCCTGGAGAATCACCGACATAAAGAAGGGGATTATAAGCAAAGCAGCTCTTTGCGTTAGCTTAAGGGAACCTTGCTTAGCACTACCTTCAGTGCCTAAATTTACACAATTCGCTTATAAACCAAACTCTGTGTATAAAGGTTTTAAACCACAAAGAAGGGATAGAGCTGAAAACAGAGAAGTGCCTAGAAAAAACTGATGTATCTCTAAGAAATTTATTGGTACTCTTTTTAGGTCACCCCTCTCTCTGCTATTTTCACAAATAAGAAAAATTGTAAGAATCAAGAAGGCAAGCAATTCTCTGTCCTTGGCATCTTTTCACAGTGTAGTTATAAGGAGTGCTGATCTGTTGCGTTGGCATTTTCCCCACAAAGTAACACTGGCTCCGTTACACTTAAATGCGGTTTCCTCTTGTCCTTTCCTCCTTTGTATAAAATTATCTTCACTGTTATTGAGCTACCTAAAGCTTCTTTGTTTTCTTCCTAAAAAAAGTCATGTAACCACATTTTTCCTGACTATAATTTTTTAAAGAATCCTAGTATCCTGAAATGTCAAGAGAATGAAAATTGGCTCATAAGTTATTCTGTGCAGTTGGGTAGGAATGTAATTTCTATTAAGCGTAATACTTTGAAGTGTAGGATGCAAAAGGCACTTGGCTCTACAGTGGATATGAATAAAATTTAATTCAAGATTTATGGTTTTATAATTATCTGGTAAGTTGTTTTTTGGGATTAAAAAAATGAAGGTCCTTGGTTAACGCCCTGTTGGATGATATTCTTTACTAAATTTCAGAGGTTTTGAAATGTAATAACTTCTTTAAAATTCCACAAAAAGGAATCTACTATAATGTTTCTTACCCCTTGATCTTAAGCAGGTCAATATGAATACATTAATTAGTTATTATAATACTTTCTAAAATTTTACAGAATTTTATATTCTGTTAAAACCACATGCTGAGAACACCCAAAGTAGAGGTATAAACATTTGCTATTAAATATTTATCAACTGAAATTGCTTGTGGAGATGATTGGAATGTGAAATTATTAAATAACTGCGAGATGACTAAATTTGCCTCAAAAATAATCTAGGCACAGGGAAATACAGAAGGAAGGACAGATTTCACTATCGTACCTCACCAAGTGTGCAATCACATCAGACTTTCGGAGTATTGTAAAGGTACTTGGTCCTGTTTTTAACATTTATATTTACTGGGCCTTTCAACCATAAAATCCCTTCAATAAAACATTGATGTCTAAAAACTTAGTTAAGAACAAACACGAAGCATGCCACGTCCTAATTACATGCTTTACTGTAGATGTCGCCCTTGGGTATCTGAGGTCTTTTCCCTTTCACTAAGGAATTTGCCTTGTAAGAGCACAAGAGCACTATTGGTGACTCGAGCAAACTTGATGAAATGTCTTCCAACTCACACCAGATAACCTAGGACACGTATTTTGTTATCCCGTGTGCTATAGCCTATGCTGAAAGCAGACCGACCATCATGGGACTAAAGCAGAGGGGGACAAATGGCAGACACACGAATGGGGCAGTCATCATCTACCTGCACAGAGTTCACATGACAAGGACGTGGCTTCGCTGGAGCAACAGGGACCGTCCTGCAAAGCCTAAAATACATCCTCTCTGGCCCGTTAGTGAACAAGCTTTCTGATGTTGTCCTAAAGGATGCTCTGTAGATTTATTCACAGGAGAAGAAACTCCTGTAAATGTGACTCTAGGAAATCTCTAAAATCATGACCATGCGTCTACCTGATAGTAGACAGCACTGAACATTCTAAGGGTGATACTGCACAGCTGTTGATAAACGTATAACCCACCTGGTTAGTTTAATTAGATAGTTCTTATACTTGAGCTAAACTCTATTCTAGAAGGAATATTCAGTCAGAAGGCTAGTTACATTTTTATACTGTGGGTAAAGATCCAGTTCATATAAACAGTGTTGCCGACTCACCTGATTCTACCCCTGGGCCGCTCAGATTGCTCTGACATAAAGCTCGTGCTGCTGAGGCGTGAGGCACTGCTGGTTCGGGAAATGGCGGACACATCACTGACATCACTATCTGATGATTTGGCAGAGACGTTATCACAGCTTCTGTACTGATCTCTATGTATGTTATACTAAAGATTAAAAACAAGAAAGCGTGAGCTCCATCATTGGATTGTGGAAAAAGGAGACACAGATGGTGAGATTAACGACTACACCAAATAAAGGTACAACACCTTTGTATAACGAAGGGAGGTGTGGAGTCGAAACTAATCCAGATGCTAACATCGTATGACTTCCAATTAAAAATAAGACATCCTCGGAATGGCAAAAAATGGCACAAGATGACTGAATTATAAATTAAACAACAAAAATGAAATGCTTGGATGGAAAGTTCACTGAATTATCTGTACATACTTAAAACCTCAAAATTATTAATTTTTTCTAGTACACCAGCTTCTCTCACTCTCTTTTTTGTTTTCATAATCGCCTGTTTTGTTCACCTTCTGTTTTAGTTGTGGTACAGATTGAGTAGTCTTAATATGAAAAATTTTTAAATCTGAAATTTTCCAAAATTTAAAATTTTTGCAGTGCCAACACGATGTTCAAAATAAATGTCCCTTGAAAATTTTTCAGATTAGGATTTTCAGATTAGGATATTCATCTGGTATACAATAGAGGGATTCCAAAACCTGAAAAACGTATGAAATCCAAAATACTTCTCGTTCCAAGTTATTCAGCTAAGAGACGTTTGACCTGAACTGTCTGCTCTCCTCTATCTATACTTGTTGATTGTTTCTAAAACTATTTAATTTACCTACATACTATTGTTTTAATTAAAAAAAAATTTGTAGAGATGGAGTTATTGCCCAGGCTGGTCTCAAACTTACAATCTCAAGTGATCTTGTCTTGGCCTCCCAAAACGCCAGCGTTACAGGCATGAGCGACCACTCCTGGCCATAATTTACTTACATATTTTCTAAGACATCATCTTGTATCTCTCAGATTTCTTCAAAAAAATACAAATTTTCACAAAAATTGGCTGATATAAACTAAGTAAAGTAGGCAATGATTGGAGTTTATCTTTTTTTCACTTGCCAATTTTAAGTTTGAACTATTATATTAACTATATGTCCAAAGTGAAATAGGGGATTCCTATTAAAATTTCACTACAAATCATATCTTACATTTAAACATATCTTTAAATCTGTCTGTGATTTTGATTCCCTAAAATTCTGAGAGTCATCAGGTAAAAGATAAAAACATGCACATTTGTCAAAGCAGCGAATCTGCTCTTCTTTCTACGTCCCTGCCGTATTCTGACAGAGCACGCAGGGAATAGCTTATGTATTACTTTTTTCATGGTTACATAATTATATATAATTTTGATGTAACTAATATATCAGTGGTTCTCTTAGATAATTAAAGGTAAGACATTGTGACTTCTTATATAAAACAAAAGAACACACAGCTACATACTTGGGTACTGAAGTTTCTTACCGGGCAATGTAATTTTATATCAATGAGTGATAAAAGTGTTAAAATATCAAGTGTTTATTAAACTTGTAGAAAAGGTCATTGATCCTCTGATATTCCATATCAGAGTTGTTTCAGTGAGTCCAAACTGTCTTCCATTTTACTAGTACATTTTAAATAGCAAATTAATTGATGCTAAAATCTGGATCCATATGTACTCCCCAAAGTACAAGACAGCATTTCTTTCTCAAGACAAGATCTTGCTCTGTTGTCCAGGCTAGAGCGCAGTAGTGTTATCATGGCTCCCTGTAACCTCAAATGCCTGGGCTCAAGCCATCCTCCTGCCTTAGCTTCTCCAACAGCTGAGACTACAATCACACACCACCACACCTGATTCCTGTTTGAACTTTTTAATGTTTTGTAGAGATGAGGTTTAACTATGTTGGCCTGGCTAGTCTTGAACTCCTGGTCCCAAGTGGTCAATTCCCTTGGCTTGGACTGCAGGTATGAGCCACTGCACTTGACCAGACAATAGTAGTTTTAAAATAATCCTAGTGGAAGATCTCATATTTATTTAATAATCCCTCATATGAAAGAAGTTTGGGCGTAACATACTTAAATGTTAGTCTTAATTCTTTTTTTTTTTTTTGAGACAGAGCCTCAAGCTGTTACCCTGGGTGGAGTGCTGTGGCATCATAGCTCACAGCAACCTCCAACTCCTAGGCTCAAGTAATTCTGCCTCTGCCTCTCAAGTAGCTGGGTCTATGGGCACCCGCTACATTGCTTGGCTATTTTTTGGTTGCAGCCGTCAGTGTTGTTTGGCGGGCCCAGGCTGGATTCAAACCTGCCAGCTCAGGTGTACGTGGCTGATGCCTTAGCCGCTTGAGCCATAGGCACCGAGCCTTTTTTTCTTTTTTTTTTTTTTTGCAGTTTTTGGCCAGGGATAGGTTTGAACCCATCACCTGGCATATGGGGCTGGTGCCCTACTTCTTCAAGCCACAGGCACCACCCTAGTCTTAATTCTTCACCTCTCATCTGTATGCATTGGTCAGATAATTTTATATCAAGCATAAAATCAATTCTCAATATACAGAATAACTATAAAGTTATTTTTCCAAAGGATTTTCTCATGATCAAGTGATTTATCTTTGAAAGCCATCTGGTTTTAATCCAAAGGAAATTCATATGTGTTATTACACATCTACCCAGAACTGGGATATCTGTACAACTTCATATCTGATCTAAAATTAATACAATTTAATATAACATTCTGAGAAAAATGTGACAGTATGGTTGATCAGCAAATTCTGTCATATCTAATACCATGACCCTTATCGACATAATTCATTTCAATCAGAACTGTATGTAATTTGCAGAGTAGATATGGTACAAGATTAATAGTTCAATGAGTGGGACTTGAATGTAACACGTTTGCTGACAAACTCAACTGCTATACTGTTGATTTTTTAAAACTACTGTGTTAAAAAGATATACTATGTAATTATTATACTTTTTTCAAATGTATTGAAATGATAACTTGTCCATGGAGAATATAAAAACAACTGGGGTCTAATACCTAAAGATTTACCTAGCTGTACAGGAGGTTTGTTTAACCTTCTGTGGACACTCAGAGGAGATGATCCACTAAGTTAGGAATTGTCAATATTAAGCAAGGTAGACTAAAGCATATAAAAAGTATGTGAGTATATGTGAAAATATTTCTTTAACTAAAGAAATCTTCCTTTTCTTAAATCATCTCCTCCCCATCCTTTTTTGTGTATAGACTTTTACTATTCCAGATAAAGTGAGGGATTTAAAGACTTATACGTCATAATAAATTTTTCTATACTGAAATAAAGAACAATCTATCACTCTGACATGATATCACAGTTTCCTTCACATTGGTTATTTGAATATTTTTATATTTACTTTATAAATATATTTAATATTACATTTTTAAAAAATATGTTAACAATTTAACCACCAGTAATATATTTACTATTACATTTTAAAAAAATATGTTAAAAATTTAACCACTTTAACATTACATCAAGTATGATCTGTTAAACTCTCTATTTAACAATTTAATATTTTAATGGAAATACATCAATTATATGCTGAGAAATATACTATTCTCAGGAAGAATTTATACTAATTATACAACAGGGAAATAAGTCACTAATGACGGGGGAATCTCTAATAATAGGGCTACTATTTATAGAACTATAAAAATAAAACGCAGCTACCTACAAAACCCATCACATCAATCTTAGTTGCCATTCCTGGGTTACAGAAACATAAGCACTCTTTAAGATGTGAGTGCCTAAATGTGAATTCACCCTGCAATTATGAATTCCACTTCATCATGAAGGCATGCGACTCTGTATAACCTCAATGAAAAAAATAGCCTGGTGACACATTTCAAGGATACCAAAGCAGTTTTGTTTTTTCAAAAGCAAAGTTAGTGCTAATTCCATATTCAGGACGAATGTTAGGGGCATTTAGTCTTTTGAAAGATATACAAGATTTAAAAAAACACCTCAGGAATTACATTCATCTGATAATATTTTGCCCTGAGAAAAATCTAGTTCTATTAGTGGTTGGTTAGAAGTATTTTGAGAATGTTTAACTCTTTTCTAACTTGGCAGAATTTTCAACGAAGGTATATTGCTTCATTCAAAATGAATTAAGATATTAAAAAAGAGTCATTAAAATAATAAAGTTAATAATTTAATTTGTATTAAATTTATGATGGCACTGTCTCTCAATTACAGCAAAGGATAATAGAGCTTTGTGAAAATTATAAAATTGCTTGGTGTAAAGAGATCAAAAACACTAAAATATAATTTCTCAAGTATTGAGAGAGGGTTGACTTCATTAAAATGGCTAGTGAGAACTATTAAAAATTCTAGTCTAAGAGTTAGTTCATAATATAAATATTAGAGATGGGGGGAAGATTTTTCTTTTTGTTGGCACATACAAAGAAGCTAATCATTTGCTATTTTACCTTACATATTTTCTCTCCTATATTCTTCCAATTTCTTAAAGTGTATATTTTTGATCTCACATTTATTTATTTTATAAGTGATTATAATTTTTAGTATAGCAGTATCAATTTATACAGTATGAGCAACAGTAATGTATTTGAGAGTAACAGGGCTTTTAAATATTCAAATGTAATGAGATAGAGAAAAAGAAAAAGGGAAACTGTGCCAAGGACGGAGAGAAGAGGGTGGGGTGCTAATTTAATTGTACATAAACAAAAGCCATTTGGGGACCTCTGAATCAAGACTGAGTAATAGGCAAGTTTCATATAAGCAGCAGCCGAAAAAAAGTGGTACTTAAGTCCCAGATAAGGTGGTGTAGACTTCACCCTCTAGTGATGCTCTGCTTCATTTTCATAACAATTTTAACAAATCATCTTCTCTCTTCTGAGCTTCAGCTTTCATAACTTTGATAACTAAGTTAAGCTGAAGTAGAAGATTATTTTGAGGCATTTTCAACTTCTACATGTTCTAAACCAGAGAACTTGGATTCGGGAACAACATAAACCTGCTTTTGGTTTATTATAAACATTCGTGGCGGTTTACACTTCTGAGCACTTCATTTTATAAATTTTTTTTTTGATCAACTGATTAATGATTAGAATCCTACTTCAGAATGATCCAGAAAGACTTTTAATACTTCATCCTGATTCCTCACTTACCTCTTTCTTCCTACACTGGCCCTACCTCCCCTGGCTGTCCTATTTGACCTCATCTTTTGACACAATGCTAAGAAACCAATAAAACATTTACAGCCTTAGTGAAATATTTCCCTTTGACAGAACCTTTCAAATAATTGCATACAACTGCAGAGCAAAAAGAAAAGCCTGAATAAGTATCCTGCCTCCTAACTCTTACTGCATTTGTAGTAAAAGAAAACAAAACAAAAAAGATGATGATCTATCCATGAAGAAGACAGACGAGTAAGCTGAATGAGCTGCATAGAAGCTCTCCCTGCCCAGAGCTGGAATTGGTAGCTCTATCGGACACCAGGATATTTTGCTTACTAAGTTTTGTTTCTTTGCTTTATTGATTTAACTTCTCAGAAAGTTGTTTCAGACACTATTAGGGAACTGAGCATCCCTGAATCACAATGACTCCTCGCAAGTCTCAGCTGGAAACCTTTCAGCAACTAACCTAAGGTGTATACTGATACACTGTATCCAATATTCAAGACTCTAGGGGAGTCTGAATGATAAATTACATGTGGTAGACATTTCTATTTTTTTTTGTATTAGTCACATCTTTACTCTATTGTTTAAAGTAAGTGGGTTTTCTAGATCCATATTTTAAGCTAACAATATTGATTTAGCTAATGATATTGATTACTTCTGATTTCTAATGCTTGCAGAAGAGCTTCTTGATATCAAATTATAACAAATGTTGTCGTATAATGGCTTCAGCTACTTTTGTAGAAGGTTTTACAAAAGATTTTTAAATGAACCAGATAGTATGTGTAAAATTAATTCATGGAACATACAATTCTATGATAATTTAATGAAAGTTATTAATTAACAGTGTATAACCTCTTAGTTTTTATTTAGAAAATAATATTAAAATATGATCTGGCATTTGAAACTATGTAAATTTTAGTCTTTAATAGTTTGAAATCAGTTACTTAGTAAAGACAGATAATAAATCTCACATCACATAGTATTTGTCATTCACTAACAAATCTCAATAGTCAATATCAACCCAAAATAGTATTAAAGATTATAAATATGTATCTTAATATTTTAAAGTGATATTCAAATAATATTCAAGCAAAAAAAACTTCAAATATGTTATTTATGCAAGTTGACTATGAGAATCCATAATTGATTTTAATATCAATATTTACATATTTTCTTTTTAGAAAATGTATTAAATACAAATTACTAACTAATATGTCAATAAAGTTATATCTTATGAAAATATAAGGAGAGGAAGAGTTTTTTTCAGGCTTTGGTAGAAATGATGAAGCAAAACCACCATTTACTGATAACTTCTCGTATATAATGTGGAGCTGGCTAATCCTGCCTGGTACATCCACTATACATTTTTAAAAGGAAACTATTGGGTGCATACTACTAATTTTACCTTGGAATATTGCTCGCGATCAAGTTCTTGACTAGACCCAGACCCTGTCGACTGCTTAAATCGATGCACTTTCATTTTCATCTGTCTTGCTCGCTCCTCCACTACTAAGCTTGCTGCAAAAACACACAATGGAAGCCTATTAAAACACATGAAGCATCTCGTGGGAACTGAATGGTTTAAGATTTTTAATGCTTTTTGAAATGACTTCAATTAAATGAAATTTATAAATAACACATGATTCATAAACTAAACAAAATGCAGAATATACAATACTTGTAACTGTTAATCGGAAGATGAACATGATTCAGATTACACAGAATGGGGAACACAGATGTTAGTAACAGAAGATAAGTACACCCTATTTCTTCACACGATACAAGATATTTTCAATTCCCTTCACAAATAATTATGTGAAGCCAAATTTAACTGTGGAGAATGTTTTCAGTTTCATCAACTGTTGCATGTACATATATAGAGAACAAGTCTGCGCCCTTCACATGCACACAGATATGCACATGTCCAGAGGCATGCACACGCCCAGTTAACTTCCTCCACCCACAGCAGTCCCCTAACAATGGTTTGAATTGATAAGTAGCCACTCTTTTGTGGGATATGTTTTTATTAATTTCTACCAGTAGCTTCTCATGAATATTGGCCAGTCCTAAAAATGGGCTTCCCAAAGGAAAAGATGAGCTTTCTGTTTCTGATGGCTACGTCTGAACCAGGTATATAAAATTCTTAAGTTCTAAAAAGGAGTCATGCAACTTTTAACCCTTTAATTTTCATAGGTAAAGACAGATATTCCACTTAAGCCTTTATTAGTCTCCTTGGTAGCAGGGACTACTGCTCAGAGGACAAGAATTATAGCCTTCGAAGTATGAGTTATTTTAACTCAGACTCCATTGTAAGCAACCCGCTTCCAAACCGTGCCTTTTATAAATGAAGGAGAAAAAAGAGCTAAGGGCACAGTTGCATGCGGAGAAAACTATTCAAAAGCGTATACCCATGTTGTATGAGATCCAAGTTTATTTTCAACAACTGATCTTTTCTCAATTTCCCAGACTACTTCACCACAGAAACCAGTGCTAAGATTTTTAAGGTGTGTGCACGTGCTTAAAACATTATTTTTGGTGGCCGATGCATTGATACTTCTGCCAGGAGGCATTAAAGATGTAAAAGTGAATGAAAATGTAGACATCTCGGAGTCACTGGGCTGCTGACTTCCTTTCTGCGTTTATAAAAGCATTTGCTGACAGATTTTTGCACTGCAATGATTTATGTGGACTATTATCCTTGATTAAAAAAAACACTAACACTTTACAAATGAAGTAAAAATGTAACTTAATCGTGTGTTCAAGAACAGACTAGCAGTCTAAGAGATAAATACAAAGAGTCTGAAATTTGTGGCTAAGGGTCTGTGTTCTAATCGTAGCGTTAGCACTCAAATTTCAGATGTTTCATTTTGTGTAAGTAATTTAGACAAACTCAATCCCTAAAGTATAGCCATGTGAATTAAGCAATGACACATATTTGCACTGAAAATGTTGACTTCAGAAACAATAAACGGTGACTATTATTACAATTAGGAGCTGGTTTAATGGAGAAATGTAGTTCAGAAATTTATTAATAACTTGACAACATGTAAGGAGTCAAAAGAGTATTACACAGTGAAATTCTATGTGAGAGTAACGGGAAACTGGAAAAAAGTTACAGAGAAAATGTGAGTTACATTTATAGAAATCTATATGAAATATAGAAAAGCTAAAATCACGGCTCTCTGCCTTTTGTCTCTGGCGTGGGGACTCCGGGTTCATCCTCAGTCAGTTGTGTGAGTAAATCAAGTATACTGTAATTGGTTGTACTTTGTAATTAAACCTTAAAACAATGCAAAATTATCTAGACTTGTAATAAAAACAGATTTAAATGATGCTAGGCTAACTATTATGAAATGATAATAACTTTTAAGTATTTTTTCTTGACGTTGATTAGCCCACAGCTTTACAACCTTAACTTTTCGCATAATGAAATTCTTAGGATGCGTGGTTAGTCACTGACAGTTATTTCCCATTAAAACAGGTCTAGTGAGAACCTTGCCAGGACAACACTGCTGCATTTCTCTAAATAGGATTATTTAGAGTTTAGGATAAGGCTGGCTTTTAAATCTCCAGTTTGCAAAACTTTAAACCACAAGAAGAAAACAGGGTAGCCTAACTAAAATAAATCTCAAAATGGTTTTAAATGACTTCAATTTTACCTTTCAAAAATGATTATTATACTATATTTATTCTTTCAGAAGTTAAAGCTGACATCTTCTACTCTATTAAAGATGGGAAATCTCCAGATTAACATTATGACTTAAAACCATGAGTAGAGCCCCTTGGCGCTCTATCAAAAATGTGGTTGCTTACTGCCCACATTGGTTGGCCTCAGAGCCCAAAGACAGAAGCAAACTGCCCACAGCTTACCATTTTACTTATTCACATCAAAAGGCCAGATAATTGCATGTTATTGCATACATTTTTTTGTGGTATTTCTCCTTATTTCCTGATGGCATGTGCCTTATGCATATTCTGAAATAATTGTTTATATAAGTTATTGTGTTTCAGTGAAATTTTTTTTCATAATCACTGAAAACCTCAAGGTAGGACTATCCTTTAACTTTGCTAGAGACTTTGCACGTTTTCAAATTTATTTCCAACTGTCTATGAGAAATAAAATGACATTATTTTTGGATTATAGATGTGTCAACCTAAATATTAAGATAAATTTATCAAGTGAAATAGAATATCATGAATTTGAACCAGAGGCATGATTCTACTAATTCATATGATTCATGCAGAAAATAATAGTAATGATTAAAAGTGAGCTGAATCCTTGGAATGTGATTAGCTTTCAAATATATATATTACTGGAAGTAAAATTAACCACACCCCAGAGAGATTAGATATCTTACTTTGAAAAGAATCATTGCAACTTATCAGTTAAAATTTCCATACTATTTTGACAATTTTGATCCAACTATTTAAATTAAAATGTGAAAATATTTTTCAATTCACCCACACATCCTTGCACTAAATTCACATTTCAGGAACATTCTGAATGTTGGTAGCACTGTAAACTAATAAAATCATTAAAATATCAGATGCCATTCCTTTATAGAAAGACAATTAAAAGAGTCCTTGGGATTTTAAACAAATTCTTGAGTGCCATATATTAGAGAATTAGATAGTACCTCCCATTTTCTACAACAAATACAATTGTCAGGTGATTTCATTTGGTCTTTGAATTGAAGTTTCCCTATATATAATACAGCCCAAAGAGAAAGACGTGTACTGTAGACTCCATTGCAGCAATAATTACAGATATTGTAATAGCGTATAAACAAGTTATCTGTCTGAGTTCCTCAGATGGAATTAACACTGCAATTTTATGAAAATGCTTTTTCAGGGAGGATTGAAAGGTTAATATTTTTCACTATGGGCAAAAGCTGCATGATGTGTTTTATGCTGAATAAATTGTGCTCTATAAAAAGCGTATATTGATTTAGCACACGATACTTATTGAAGAAGATCCACTTTCCTTATGGCAACTTCATTCTGTACACATCAGCCTTTCCGAACTCTGGCGTATTTTGTCAGGTGAACCTACGTATGCCAAAAATCACCTAACTGCTAAAATTAAGAAAGAATGAAACTCGAACATATCTTTAGAAGTTAAATGAAAAATGTACTTGTCAAGTTTCTTGTCCTCAAAAACTCAACAAGAAAAAAATCTGATTACAGAGTATGCAGGGTAAGAAAAGTAAAGGAAATGTAATTCACAAAGCTTACTACAATTTTTCTAATGGGAAGTGTAAGTATTAACAACAAAGACTCAGATTAAAATGACCTCATCTCCTTTCACGTCAGGTTTTACCAAGATTTCTTCATTTAGAATTACAGACGATCTTTAATTAACATAGGAATAAACGAAACACATTTTCAAATTTTGTGTTTATGTGTTTCCAAACGATGTTTTTTCTAGGCTGATCTCTTTTATAACATTTTTAAAAAGGCCTTAATAATTTTTCCCCAACCCATCACTTGAAAACACCTATAATATAAAAAAATGTAAATTTTTAAAAATCATTGAAATAATTGAAGAAAAAAAATTTTTTTTTAAAAAAAGAACATAATTCTCCAAAAAAAGAATATACTTTTCTGGACAGTTGTTTGATTTATCACGTTTTTATGACTTAAAAATACTGTGAAATCATACTCATGACTAATTAAACTATTATAATTTAAACATTAAACTTGCATAAATATATTTGAAGTATTACTTGTAAATTTATATTTACATAAAAATGAATTTTTATTGATCTCAAAATTCCTTACATCTTTCCTATTTCTATGCGTCTCACAAGTAACATGAATTTGTGATTTCACATGTTTGTATTTCTAGGCAAAAAAAAAAAATTGTATTAAAATATGAAGCCTTCAAATATTTTTCAAGTATTCTAGGTGAAATATGACTACCAAAGAGAATAGAAAGAAGAATCATTTCTATATTAATAAATCTATCAATGCAAAAATTAAATGTGTAAACATTTTAAACGAAGTTTAGCCCATAATATGTGTCAAAGGTGACAGGATAACATCTGGATGGGATCTTTAAGCCTGTCTGGGTAACTGTGCTGTGCTATCCTACTTTATGAATGAAAAAGTGAGTGTGTCTGCTTCACTGCTGGATGAGTTCCATGAGTTCTCACTGGGTTAGTGAGAGTTCCATGATGGTGGAGCCACCCTCTTGCTCTGGGGCTTCTCTGAGGAAGAGCAATGACATACGACTGCACCCTTGGAAGGTGTCGGATAGAGGGAAGTAGATGAGGAAACACCCACGATGTGTCCGTGAGTGAAGACAGTAGAATTCCTTCTATGAATCTTTTATAAAGGTAGTGAAAACAATTCCTGCTATGAAGTGTTTTATTTTAAAAATAACTACACTGAAAGTGGAACTTTAATATAATGAAACATATAATATGACACAAAGAGGTTAAAAAGTAATAAAGGTGAAAAGATCTAGGTAACTGAATCTATAATCAGTATAAGCTACACCAGAACTGAATGGAGAT